GTAGCATTTTCGTGTACCCTTCAAGTCAGACTTGGAGAGGCAGTGTGTTGAGCTCCAAGAGCCTTTGCTTCTCTGTTTTGAACCTTTGGTAAGTTGTACCAACCTTGGTCTTGAGTTTTCTTGCTTAAAGATGAAGTCTTGGCATGATTAATGAATTAAACAAGTAACCAACTGTCATATGAACCTCAATGAACCTTAAGATGCATGTTTAAGCTTCTGGAAGTGTTAAAAATGGAACCTTGGAAGGATATCTTCGCGAAATGCAGAAACTGCATTCTGTCGCGAAATATCCAGATATTTGCCCGTGGAATATCCAGATATTGATATCCGGATATGGGAATCTAGATATCCGGATATTGCCAGAGTGATATCCGGATATTGGATATCCGGATATTGCCTGTGAGATATCCGGATATTGCATATCCGGCCCTAGTTTGAGGAAGTTGAACTTCTGTAATTAATTGATATAAGTCAGATTCATATGATTAAGGGCTTATGGCTTGTGAGAAGCCTTAAGACGTAAAACGTAATGGAAAGGCGTGTCTTAATATTGTATGCTTGCGGTGCATGTTTATTGATATATTATTGGTCCATAACAGATTGTGAATCTGCTGTGTTTGGACTTTGAGCTGTGGACTCTTGGCTTTGGGTGTTAGCTTGCAAGGTAAGCTTTTGTGTCCTCGTTTTAGCCATGTTGTGGTTCCACCATGTCCCATGGGGTATGGTTATATGCATGTTGTGTTACATGTTTTTGATATATGAAATGTTGTTGAGCTTTATGTGATAATGGCTTTTAATATGCATGTGTTGTTCCATCTTGACGGTAAGCCTGAGTATGTGGCATACAAGACGGTGATCCGGGGTGGATGCAAGTAGCATCTTGCACTATTTGTGGGTATTAGACGTATATAAATCCTGCATTTCTCTGGCCAGTATAATAGAATTGACACACATGACATGATTATCTGCTGCTTGCACTATTTTAGAAATGATATTGATGAACTGCTTTTCAACTTATATTGCACATGTAAGTGAGCTTCGGGTGGAAGATCCTTGAGGACCCCTTGTCTTACTGAGATTTCTTGTTTAGAGATCTCACCCCACGTTTGGGGAATTCTTATTTCAGGTTTAGGTAGTATGGTGACTGATGCCTCTGGCGGCAGGAGGCCAGAGCTTAGCTGATTATGATATTTATGTTGTATTGGTGTCATAACTGGATGGGATGCAGTTTATGTTTTCTTCTCTTTATGTTTTGAGTTGAGACTTATGTTGGGCTTTGTTGCCTTATTTGGGTGAGCATGGGAGTTGTCCATGCCATTATGTTGTTAGTACTTTTGAGTCGAGTTGTATAAACTGCTAGTTGGTTCGGTTTACGTGTTGTAGTTTCGTGACTAGAGACATATATTATGTTATTTTAATTAATGAGGTGTTTCAGTTAGCTGTTTTATTGCAATTGCATACATGCGATGTTTTATTAATTGATTAATAAGCAAGTTGGTAATGATAATGACTTCATAATTGAAAAGAAAAAGATATTCCACAATTTTTAATTAAGCGCAGCTTAATACGATAGTATGATAACATTACCGGATATATACGGGGTGTTACATTTATGGTATCAGAGCAATGGGTCGAGGGGAAAGCCTGTATGTATTGCAATAGCTAGGATGTTTTGCTGTGTCTGTCTTGTGTGTTTACTCCGTCGAATTTTATTAAGATAATGCATATGTAATCACATTGCATGGGCCTGATCAACTCATAATTTGTGTAACTTGTGTAGAGTCATGGTAAGGTCCGGGAGAACACGAGAGACTTCTGAGGATCAACCCGATCCTATCCTGACTGCATTGGCTGAGATGCAGGCGGATAGGTTAGCCGATCAGGAGGCCACTAGATTGGTCAACGCGGAAATGATGGATGCTGTTCGCAAGGCGAACCGGATAGCCGCAGAAGAGGTTCGTGAAGCGAACCGGAGGACCACTGAGGATGTCCTCGAGGCGAACAAGATGGCGAACATGATGATGATGAGAGTCATGTTGGAGGAGATGAGGGCTGGTCCTGCTGTAGGCCAGTTACCACCGCCACCACCGCCGTCGCCGCCGCCTCCACCTAGTGTTCAGGATGAGAGCCTGAGTCACATTGGCAGTGCTTCTCATGTCGCTGAGACAAGGGAGACTCTTGTAGAGCTTGCTGAGGATCGTGATGTGTTAGATCGCCGGCTGAATGCTTTCAGGAAGCATAAGCCACCTGTGTTTGAAGGGTCTTTGGATCCTATTGCTGCGGCGAGATGGCTGGAATCGCTGGACAAGATATTTCGGGTCATGCAGTGTACAGACCCACATAAGCTGATGTTCTCGACTTACATGCTGGAAGGCGATGCCCATGAGTGGTGGACGAACACCTCTCGTGCTTTTGAGATGGAGGGTCGTGTTTTGACGTGGCCATTCTTCGAGGAATGCTTCTTGGGCAGATACTTTCCCTACGATGCGCAGGAGAGGAAGCAGAGGGAGTTTGATCGATTGGTTCAGGGCTCGATGTCTGTTGACGAGTACCTGGTCAAGTTCAATGAACTGGTGAAGTTTGCGCACTTCCGGATGGTTCCTCCTACTCCGATGTTTCTGGCTGCTAAGTTCCGCAGAGGACTTAGTGAGGTGATTGCTGAGCATATTGCTGGAGCTGCTTCGGGGGATTTTGGCACACTGGTTCAGCAGTGTAAGGACATTGAGGATGTCTGCATAGCGAGCAAGGCCAATAGGGCCAAGGTCGACGAGACCAAGGGGACTGTTAGTTCACTCCTGCTCCTACTTCTTGGAAGGAAAAGAAGTTTACTGGGAAGGGCAAAGGTAAACAGTTGGCGACTAGGCAGGCGCCTGGTCAGTTCAAGAGGAATGCTTCACAGCAGGGGAGCTTTGCTAGGCCTCCTTCCACTCCAAGCTGTGCGGGGTGCGGCAAGGAGCATGCTGGTCGTTGTGCTTCAGGTCAGCTGATCTGTTTCCAGTGTGGACTCTAGAGACTGTCCATCGTCGACGGCGAGAGCTGCAGTTGTTCAGGCAGTTCCTTTGCAGATGGTTCTAATGGCTTCTACTTCGGCACCTGCGGTGCCACCTTCAGTTGGGCGTGTGTACACCTTGGATAGGCAGCAGTCGGACCGCGCTCCGAACCTTGTTAGAGGTACTGTGTCTATTGGTGGTATTGCTGTTGATGAATTGTTTGACTCCGGGGCTACGCATTCGTTTGTTGCTACCCCGATTGCTTTAGGGCTTGAGTTGCCCATGTATGTGCTTTCTCCACCGTTGCGGGTGACTACCGCCACCGGAGAAATTTGCGATTCTACCACTATACATCGCGACGTAGCGTTTCAGTGGGATGGCCGTGAATTCTCGGTGGATCTGATAGGATTGCCGATGGCCAACTTGGAGATTATTCTGGGCATGGATTGGTTGTTTAGAAACTATGCACTGATTGATTGTTGTGCAAAGCGCGTGGTGATGTCTCCGTGTGATTCCACAGCTAGTTCCTCGCCATATATTGCATTGCTGCAGGCTAGGAAGGCCTTGAGAGTAGGGGCATTCGGGTATGTCATGTTGGGAGGTTTGGTGAGTGTGACACATGAGGATATCACTGGCATTCCTGTGGTGGGGGAGTTCCTCGAGGTGTTTCCTGAGGAGATTCCTGAGTTTCCGCCACAGCGGGAGATAGAGTTCTCCATTGATTTATTGCCTGGTGTGGGGCCGATTTCATTGGCTCCATATCGGATGTCGCCACCGGAGTTGGCTGAGCTTAAGAAGCATATTGAGGATCTTTCAGCGAAAGATTTCATCCGGCCGAGTGTGTCTCCTTAGGGAGCACCGGTCATCTTTGTGAAGAAGAAGGACGGGACAATGCGATTGTGCACCGACTACAGGCAGTTCAACAAAGTGACGATCAAGAACAAGTATCCCCTTCCTTGGATTGATGATCTGTTGGATCTGCTCAGGGGTGCTTGCGTGTATTCCAAGATTGATCTCTGGTCCGGATACCATCAGATTCGGGTGAAGCCGGAGGATGTCCCTAAGACCGCGTTTCGTTCGAGATACGGTCACTTTGAGTATTTGGTGATTCCTTTTGGACTCACAAATGCGCCAGCAGTGTTCATAGATTACATGAACAAGATTTTCCAGCCGTATCTGGATCAGTTTGTGATCGTCTTTATTGATGGCATTCTGATTTACTCCAAGACTGAGGAGGAGCATGTGGAGCATCTGAGGATTGTTCTGCAAGTGCTGAAGGAGAAAAAGCTTTATGCTAAGCCTTCTAAGTGTGAGTTCTGGCTCAAATCAGTCAAGTTTCTGGGGCATGTGATTTCAACGGATGGAGTTGCAGTGGATCCCAACAAGATTGAGGCCGTGCTGGATTGGGAGAGGCCCAAGATAGTTAAGGAGGTGAGGAGCTTCTTAGGTTTGGCAGGTTATTATCGGAGGTTCATCAAAGGGTTTCTCCACGATGGTTCTCCCTTTGACTCGCCTTACTTGAAAGGAGACTCCATTTGTGTGGATTCACGAGTGTGAGGCGTGCTTCCAGATTCCCTGAGTCAAAACCAAATAACCAAATCAGCACCCAAATTTGTAAACGCAAGTGATATATAACTAGCAATATTGTATAATATATAATATCAGATATATCAGCCAATGCCCCCTGTAGAATTGCAATAATAAATTATTATTATTATATATATAACTGCAATATCCTTTTTTTCCTACGTAAAGAAGTTGCCATACAAATTAACAATTATGGTATCTGTATCTCAGAAATCCTGATTTTTTTATTTATTTTTATTTATTTTGTGTGGGTGGTTTGAGTAAATGGTTATTGTTTTATTAACAGAAACGTTACTCAGTTCCAGACCTCATAAAGGCAAACTTTCGTCGCCACCATTTATTTGTCTATTACATATAGATCTCAAATAGAGAATAAAAAATACAATAATAGTATTATATATTATTATTGTCACACCCTGTTACATGTATGCAAATGAAACTATGAAAGTAACTTGCGAAACAGGTATCAAGATGAGCATCAATAGTTCACACATTTATATACACATGGAAGTAGACCGAGGGGATATGTGATCTATCAGATAATGGGAGGAGGAAAACAAAAAGAGCAGATACAGTGAAAACCAGGCACACATGTTCACCTTAATAATATCTGAGCTAGTAAGACAATGTTCATTAAGATCACATGACGCAGAGAAAAAGAAACAGAAAGAGCAGAGAGAGCATTTGACCTTAATTACCAAGTTTGAAGAAGTTCATCATGATGAGCTTTCAACTGAATTGTACTTTACTAATGTTCTGTACATAGGAGTAAAAATTGGAGAGTTCAGATGGTCATCTCCCTTAAGTTTACTATGTTCAATATTCAATTAAATTTGCTAGCGGTCTAAGAATAAGAGGTCCTAGAGAAAATGCTTATAATAGTTTGAAGCTAACCATTCCTACTCTAAGGTCACTTTGTTTAATTTTTAAGCATTTAAAAATATCAGTAATTCAATTGACATATATATAAATACACACACATAAGTAAAAGATACATACATACATACATGAGTCATTTATGTTGTTTATGCATAGCCTCATTGTCTAGAAATTTGCATTGCAGGTCAGGACTTGACGGGTTTGGCTGGGAGCCCTGCATATGTTGCACCAGAAGTGTTGTTGGGTAGATACTCAGAAAAGGCGGATATATGGAGTGCTGGAGTGCTCCTGCATGCTCTGTTGGTTGGTGTTCTTCCATTTAAAGGGGATTCACAAGAAGCAGTTTTTGAGGCTATTAAGAATTCCAAGCTAGATTTCCAAACCGGGATGTGGGAATCAATATCTAAACCTGCACGAGATCTTGTTGGGAGAATGCTGACAAGGGATATTTCAGCAAGGATAACAGCTGATGAAGTACTTAGTAAGTTTATGATAGATTATTAATGTTTTGTAGCGTGCTTTATCTCTCTTCCTCAATGATGAATACACCAAAGACTAGTTGTATTTGGTCTGATTTTTTGTTTTTTAATCTTGAAATAATTAAAATTAGAAATTTCCAAGTTTTGTTGAAAAGTATCTTTGCCTTTCACATGAATCAGGACATCCATGGATATCTTTCTACACAGAACGTACATTGAAGATCCTGCCCGTTGAATCAAAGTTGAAGCACCAAAATGGAGCTGCTTCCCACAACTTTGTTGCTGCACCTGAACCTAGGTTAGGAAAAAACAGGATGGATGATGGGTTCCTTAATGAGGTTTCAAAGTTGAAGCACCAAAATGGAGCTGCTTGCCACAACTTTGTTGCTGCACCTGAACCTAGGTTAGGAAGAAACAAGATGGATGATGGGTTCCTTAATGAGGTTTCAAGCCTTTCAATGCTTTTTCTTATATAATTTGACGATATTCATTTTTTTTTCTTACTATTATTAAAAAATAAAAGGTATGTGTAATTATGATAAATGTTTGACATGTCAAATTTTTTGCCCCAACTAAAGTTAAATTCTGGCTCCGCCATTGTGTGGAGCCATTCTTTTGGACGTTAGACGGTTTTTTTTTGTTTTCTTGCCCATCAGTGGCGGAACCACATTATGCAAAAAGTTTTTTTTTTAATATTGCTCTTAACTTTGATCAATCTGATACCGCCAATCCCATGGGAATAACAAATTACATGTTATGGAATAAAAAAATCAACATGGTCAAATTAGGTAAGAAAAATAATGAACTAGTAAGAAAAAAAAATGAATATCGTCAAATTATATAAGAAAAAGCATTGAAAGGCTTGAAACCTCATTAAGGAACCCATCATCCATCCTGTTTCTTCCTAACCTAGGTTCAGGTGCAGCAACAAAGTTGTGGGAAGCAGCTCCATTTTGGTGCTTCAACTTTGATTCAACGGGCAGGATCTTCAATGTACGTTCTGTGTAGAAAGATATCCATGGATGTCCTGAAATTGAACCACATAATATTAATTTAACATGCAAACAATCGAACAGTTCTTAAAACTTAAAAGTACTGTCATTTTATTTCCTGTTTAAAAACATTAGGGAGAAAAAGAGAGCCTCAACCACATAGAAGAACACATAATAAAAACTAACAAAAGTAAGTGAGAATTAACAGATTCCCACTGTTATCCCAACCAAAACAAGGCAATCCTTCTAATTATTAAGAATTCATGTGAAAGGCAAAGATACTTTTCAACAAAACTTGGAAATTTCTAATTTTAATTATTTCAAGATTAAAAAACAAAAAATCAGACCAAATACAACTAGTCTTTGGTGTATTCATCATTGAGGAAGAGAGATAAAGCACGCTACAAAACATTAATAATCTATCATAAACTTACTAAGTACTTCATCAGCTGTTATCCTTGCTGAAATATCCCTTGTCAGCATTCTCCCAACAAGATCTCGTGCAGGTTTAGATATTGATTCCCACATCCCGGTTTGGAAATCTAGCTTGGAATTCTTAATAGCCTCAAAAACTGCTTCTTGTGAATCCCCTTTAAATGGAAGAACACCAACCAACAGAGCATGCAGGAGCACTCCAGCACTCCATATATCCGCCTTTTCTGAGTATCTACCCAACAACACTTCTGGTGCAACATATGCAGGGCTCCCAGCCAAACCCGTCAAGTCCTGACCTGCAATGCAAATTTCTAGACAATGAGGCTATGCATAAACAACATAAATGACTCATGTATGTATGTATGTATCTTTTACTTATGTGTGTGTATTTATATATATGTCAATTGAATTACTGATATTTTTAAATGCTTAAAAATTAAACAAAGTGACCTTAGAGTAGGAATGGTTAGCTTCAAACTATTATAAGCATTTTCTCTAGGACCTCTTATTCTTAGACCGCTAGCAAATTTAATTGAATATTGAACATAGTAAACTTAAGGGAGATGACCATCTGAACTCTCCAATTTTTACTCCTATGTACAGGGTAACATTAGTAAAGTACAATTCAGTTGAAAGCTCATCATGATGAACTTCTTCAAACTTGGTAATTAAGGTCAAATGCTCTCTCTGCTCTTTCTGTTTCTTTTTCTCTGCGTCATGTGATCTTAATGAACATTGTCTTACTAGCTCAGATATTATTAAGGTGAACATGTGTGCCTGGTTTTCACTGTATCTGCTCTTTTTGTTTTCCTCCTCCCATTATCTGATAGATCACATATCCCCTCGGTCTACTTCCATGTGTATATAAATGTGTGAACTATTGATGCTCATCTTGATACCTGTTTCGCAAGTTACTTTCATAGTTTCATTTGCATACATGTAACAGGGTGTGACAATAATAATATATAATACTATTATTGTATTTTTTATTCTCTATTTGAGATCTATATGTAATAGACAAATAAATGGTGGCGACGAAAGTTTGCCTTTATGAGGTCTGGAACTGAGTAACGTTTCTGTTAATAAAACAATAACCATTTACTCAAACCACCCACACAAAATAAATAAAAATAAATAAAAAAATCAGGATTTCTGAGATACAGATACCATAATTGTTAATTTGTATGGCAACTTCTTTACGTAGGAAAAAAAGGATATTGCAGTTATATATATAATAATAATAATTTATTATTGCAATTCTACAGGGGGCATTGGCTGATATATCTGATATTATATATTATACAATATTGCTAGTTATATATCACTTGCGTTTACAAATTTGGGTGCTGATTTGGTTATTTGGTTTTGACTCAGGGAATCTGGAAGCACGCCTCACACTCGTGAATCCACACAAATGGAGTCTCCTTTCAAGTAAGGCGAGTCAAAGGGAGAACCATCGTGGAGAAACCCTTTGATGAACCTCCGATAATAACCTGCCAAACCTAAGAAGCTCCTCACCTCCTTAACTATCTTGGGCCTCTCCCAATCCAGCACGGCCTCAATCTTGTTGGGATCCACTGCAACTCCATCCGTTGAAATCACATGCCCCAGAAACTTGACTGATTTGAGCCAGAACTCACACTTAGAAGGCTTAGCATAAAGCTTTTTCTCCTTCAGCACTTGCAGAACAATCCTCAGATGCTCCACATGCTCCTCCTCAGTCTTGGAGTAAATCAGAATGCCATCAATAAAGACGATCACAAACTGATCCAGATACGGCTGGAAAATCTTGTTCATGTAATCTATGAACACTGCTGGCGCATTTGTGAGTCCAAAAGGAATCACCAAATACTCAAAGTGACCGTATCTCGAACGAAACGCGGTCTTAGGGACATCCTCCGGCTTCACCCGAATCTGATGGTATCCGGACCAGAGATCAATCTTGGAATACACGCAAGCACCCCTGAGCAGATCCAACAGATCATCAATCCAAGGAAGGGGATACTTGTTCTTGATCGTCACTTTGTTGAACTGCCTGTAGTCGGTGCACAATCGCATTGTCCCGTCCTTCTTCTTCACAAAGATGACCGGTGCTCCCTAAGGAGACACACTCGGCCGGATGAAATCTTTCGCTGAAAGATCCTCAATATGCTTCTTAAGCTCAGCCAACTCCGGTGGCGACATCCGATATGGAGCCAATGAAATCGGCCCCACACCAGGCAATAAATCAATGGAGAACTCTATCTCCCGCTGTGGCGGAAACTCAGGAATCTCCTCAGGAAACACCTCGAGGAACTCCCCCACCACAGGAATGCCAGTGATATCCTCATGTGTCACACTCACCAAACCTCCCAACATGACATACCCGAATGCCCCTACTCTCAAGGCCTTCCTAGCCTGCAGCAATGAAATATATGGCGAGGAACTAGCTGTGGAATCACACGGAGACATCACCACGCGCTTTGCACAACAATCAATCAGTGCATAGTTTCTAGACAACCAATCCATGCCCAGAATAATCTCCAAGTTGGCCATCGGCAATCCTATCAGATCCACCGAGAATTCACGGCCATCCCACTGAAACGCTACGTCGCGATGTATAGTGGTAGAATCACAATTTCTCCGGTGGCGGTAGTCACCCGCAACGGTGGAGAAAGCACATACATGGGCAACTCAAGCCCTAAAGCAATCGGGGTAGCAACAAACGAATGCGTAGCCCCGGAGTCAAACAATTCATCAACAGCAATACCACCAATAGACACAGTACCTCTAACAAGGTTCGGAGCGCGGTCCGACTGCTGCCTATCCAAGGTGTACACACGCCCAACTGAAGGTGGCACCGCAGGTGCCGAAGTAGAAGCCATCAGAACCATCTGCAAAGGAACTGCCTGAACAACTGCAGCTCTCGCCGTCGACGATGGACAGTCTCTAGAGTCCACACTGGAAACAGATCAGCTGACCTGAAGCACAACGACCAGCATGCTCCTTGCCGCACCCCGCACAGCTTGGAGTGGAAGGAGGCCTAGCAAAGCTCCCCTGCTGTGAAGCATTCCTCTTGAACTGACCAGGCGCCTGCCTAGTCGCCAACTGTTTACCTTTGCCCTTCCCAGCAAACTTCTTTTCCTTCCAAGAAGTAGGAGCAGGAGTGAACTAACAGTCCCCTTGGTCTCGTCGACCTTGGCCCTATTGGCCTTGCTCGCTATGCAGACATCCTCAATGTCCTTACACTGCTGAACCAGTGTGCCAAAATCCCCCGAAGCAGCTCCAGCAATATGCTCAGCAATCACCTCACTAAGTCCTCTGCGGAACTTAGCAGCCAGAAACATCGGAGTAGGAGGAACCATCCGGAAGTGCGCAAACTTCACCAGTTCATTGAACTTGACCAGGTACTCGTCAACAGACATCGAGCCCTGAACCAATCGATCAAACTCCCTCTGCTTCCTCTCCTGCGCATCGTAGGGAAAGTATCTGCCCAAGAAGCATTCCTCGAAGAATGGCCACGTCAAAACACGACCCTCCATCTCAAAAGCACGAGAGGTGTTCGTCCACCACTCATGGGCATCGCCTTCCAGCATGTAAGTCGAGAACATCAGCTTATGTGGGTCTGTACACTGCATGACCCGAAATATCTTGTCCAGCGATTCCAGCCATCTCGCCGCAGCAATAGGATCCAAAGACCCTTCAAACACAGGTGGCTTATGCTTCCTGAAAGCATTCAGCCGGCGATCTAACACATCACGATCCTCAGCAAGCTCTACAAGAGTCTCCCTTGTCTCAGCGACATGAGAAGCACTGCCAATGTGACTCAGGCTCTCATCCTGAACACTAGGTGGAGGCGGCGGCGACGGCGGTGGTGGCGGTGGTAACTGGCCTACAGCAGGACCAGCCCTCATCTCCTCCAACATGACTCTCATCATCATCATGTTCGCCATCTTGTTCGCCTCGAGGACATCCTCAGTGGTCCTCCGGTTCGCTTCACGAACCTCTTCTGCGGCTATCCGGTTCGCCTTGCGAACAGCATCCATCATTTCCGCGTTGACCAATCTAGT